CCCCAAAACCCCAAAACCCCAAAACCCCAAAACCCCAAAACCCCGAACAATAGTTTGACCATTGAAACTTTAAAATCTAATATAGGATGAGCATCTATTTATTTGAATAGATGAGCTATATCTTTGTATATTAATCCTGTTTCTCTTCTTCATTTTCAACAGCTTTCATCTTGCGTTTTCTGTCATAGTTGTCACCTTCTAATTTCTCCATAAGCTTCCTCTTGTAGTCATCTCCAGACATTCCCATTGGATGGATTGTATTTTTACATACCTTTTGCTTTTTAATGATCCAATCAAACTTGTAATCATATTCGTACTCCTTTTTCTTCATCAAATGTTTGAACAATTTTCTGAGGTCAGAGATGCATGGTTTATCTTCAAATTGAAGTCCCCGGCAATATGTGAAATATTTGGCAAACTCGCTTGGGAATCCTTCTCACAAAGACTCAATAGATGTAGATTTCTTCTTCTCCTTGATGCGTTCGTACTTCTCCTTCTTGTTTCTACCTGGGAGTCCTTGCCATGGTAGCTTTCCTTTGAGGAAGTACATAAGAACATAGCCGAGACCTTCAAGATCATCTCTTCTGGATTGCTCATAACCAAGATGAGTGCTGAGACTGGCATACCTGGCAGTTCCAGTTAAATTCTTCCCTTCCTTCCAAGGAATATGTTCTCCTGTCTTTGGATTCCTGAATCTTTTGGCTAGACCAAAATCTACCAAGTAGATGTAAGAAGGCTTCTTATGGCCGATCAGGAAATTGTCTGGCTTCATATCTCTATGAATAAAATGATTGTTTTGGACTAGCTCAATTCTTTCGAGCATTTGAATAGCAAGCATCAAGACAGTTTTTAACTTAAATTGTCTTTTACAGTAATTGAAAAGTTCTTCAAGAGAAGGTCCAAGAAGTTGCATTATCATTATATTAGAGTCTCCCTCAATAATGACTCCTCTCATATCAGGGATCCCTTTGCCCTTCATCATTCTTAATAACTTAGCTTCATATATCAACTGTGGGTGCTTGGTCTTATTAGACTCAATTTTGAGAGCCACCTCCTCTCCTGTATGAGACTCTGTTGCTAAATAGACCTCGCCAAACGCTCCTCATCCAAGCTTCTTGCCAATCTTATACTTGCCTCCTAGCTTTAACGATTTGACATCCATTTCTCACTGATGTTTAATTATTATTATTTCATTTATAAATCCTCGCTTAGGGGTTTTGGGGTTTTGGGGTTTTGGGGTTTTGGGG